ACCACCCTCGCAGCAGCAGCATCCCTGCACCCATCCACAGAGACATGGCCTCTCCTGACAGCTGCTCCACAGAGTATGAACACAAAGTCTGCCACACACAGAGATGATTCCATTCAACTCACCAAACTCCGTTACAAACAGTTATACCAGCAAGATTATGGCTTAAGAAGGAAGATGATGTTGTCTGGATCCTGCCTGGGCTACCAAACATATACTGTAGAAACTCCAGAGCATAATCAAAGATCAAACCACTCCGTCTACTAATTTTTGTTTTTATGTCCCTTAATTTCCCCGTTGGACTTTGTCTGGTTGTTCTTAGTACTAAATCTTGTTTTAAACATTATTTCCGGTTGCAACATGCTTTTAGTTTAGGCTCTTACAGTTTTGTTAATTACAACAAAAATTGTATCAGTTGATCTGAATGTGTTTTAGCTTATTTTCTTTGCTCCATAGTGGAGTTTTAGTCCCTGAATCTTGTTTTAGAATGGCTAAATACTTTATATAACTTTTTTTAAAGCCTTCTGGCATTCAAAAAAATGCATATTACTGTTTGATTTGAGACCTAAATTTTATGCTATAACAGAGTGACTTGCATTCTTAAAATTATTTATTACTTGTTTTCATTGCCAATGAGAATGTATTTAGAGGCTAAGCAGCACTGCTCTAGGTGTAGTACTGCATACTAACTGGACACATCAGGTCAGAGGATTGCAGTGTTCTTGTAATCTTAGGTCATGTGGGGGTCTTGGGGGCTCTGTTAAGTCACCAGAACTTTCCTGCTAATCCTTCTTAATGATTGGCATGTAGAAATTAAGTGCACTAAAAGGCTCTTGGTAGATGGAGCCACAATTATTTATGAAATGCAACAATTTCTCCTGCAGCACCTGCTTCAAATTTGTTCTCTGGGATGTAGTAGTGAGTTCCTTTTGATATTTTATCAGGTACTAGGAGATCTGCCTGTGCAATACTTGCTTGCTTGCTTTTTATTTGTTTGCTTGTTTTTTGTTTTGTTTTTTTGTGTGTGTTTTAAGACTATATTTAAGAAGACAGCATTGGTAAAGCGACAATGAAGATTTCCATGTGGCTGTAGGGGGTTTGGCCTTAATGTAGCAGCAACACTGTGTGTATTATAAACTTTCCACAGACTGTATTTTCTGGTAAGAAAAGGAAAACTTTCTTTAATGTTGATTTGACTAAGCTCAGTCACTGCAAGGGAAGGACTTTTACTTTTCACATTGTGCGAGTAGTTATTTGTTTCTGTTTTCTGAAGCAAAAGCCACTATGCTCTGTAAAATCAGTTTTATATTCTGCTTAACAAGTATTAAAGTTTTGGTTTTTTTAACAAACACATTGACTTTTTTTTGTGTACATCTGAAAGCACTTAACATTTGACACATTCTGAAGACTAGTAAAACCTAAAAATCAACTAATCTCAGGAATCTTAATGCATCAGATAATTAAAATGATCATTGAAAGCAAAGCTATTTTAGTTTTCTAATTGGTTTTTCTTGTAAAATATTAAAGGACATTTCATAAATCTATCAAGATGTATCTGAAGAGAAAAGATCAAACCAAACTATCCACTAAGGACATGAGGGGAACCCCTCAAAAAGTTTGAGAACCACTGCAACAGGCTGACTTCCCTCATAACACTACAAGATGTGGCCTTCGTTCCAAGCAGCACATTGATTGATAGATGACTCACTGGACTGTTTCTCTCAGTAAAATCACATGCAACTCCCTTAAATTAGACTGATGTTAACATCAGTCATAAGACATGTTTACAAGGAAAATCATTAAACCTGTTGTCTGGAAACGATCAAGGATGAGAAGAAGGAATGAAAGTCTGTGTGGAGAAAATGCCTGTTGTGACTTGAGTCCTCAGTACTCCAGGATAGACCACTGAAAGGTCGATGTGTAATTTGTCATTGTCAGGCTGGGAAAGGGAGCTGAAAGCTGCACAGTCTGTGTCACTGAGAAATGACAAGCTCCACTGGACTGAAGTTATGGAGTCGTAAACAAGAGTGAAGAACAGTAGCTATTGATTAGTCGACTTGATCCTTCTGAACACTGACTTTCTGTGAGCTCCTAGAAGAAGACTCTTCTGGCTTTCTCTCCCACTTCTCTTATCTGTTTTCACTCTCAGGCATCGCTGCTATTAAACAAATTCCATGAGCAGTGATGACAGGGTAGGAGCTTGTCTATGCCTTAAGAAACAGCCTTTATAAAAAGATTAAGCATCAAAGAGAAGAGTGAGGCCTTATCTAAAAATAGTATCACAATCAAACAGGTCTACTAAATTTCTCTGCTCATCAAACTATCTCTTGCCATGCTCTCTTATTAACCCAGAATGCCCTACTTCCCCGAGGTCTGAGCTTATTTTTGTTTTGACACGTTTTCCTTGTTTAAGTGTAATCCATGAAGAAATCAGAACCTACAAAGATAGAAGTGCAGCACATTTAGCTTCATGTTGTCTCTACATTGCAAATTCTAGTTCATCACTTCAAAACTCACAAGACAAAGCTACATACAGTATACTCGCTAATGCAGAAGCGCCTTCTCGATCCTTGTTGCCTGAACCCCTCCAATAGAAACCAACTAGAATTTTTAAGTTCTTATCATTTCAACTCCTGCCAGGAAATAGAAACATCAAAGGTTCTCACCAGCTTCACCCACTCACTGCCATGTGGGTTTCACATCTACTTGCTCTAGTGCCACACATTGCCAAGGGAAACACAGCTACTCTGATTGTGTTTGATAGAAGTTTCCTCTGGTCAAACAAAGCCCATGTATTGACAGCATCATCAGCTGCTATCGGTACAACCTGGACAGGTCGCCAGTCTATCACAGGGCTAACACTTAGAGACAGACAACCACACACACCCACACTAACTTCTATGGGCAATTTCGAGTCTTTGGGACATGCAGGGACATGCAGGGACTCTAAATTTGGGAGTAAGCCGGCATACTCAAAGAGAACACAAACAGGCACAGGAAGAACATGCAGACTCTGCACAGAAATACATCGGGTTGGCCAGGGCTCGACAGCACTAACCACTGCTCCACCATGTCGTCTGCTTCTCAGTGCCTGCTACACAATGCTCTCCATCCAGAGAATTTTAAGCGATTTAGTGACATCTAGCGGTGAGGTTGTAGACTGCAACATTAAGCAAGGCTCTCATTCAGTCATGTCACAATGATTACTGTAAATGTAGGACAAATTGCACACTCAGGAAACAAGTGTGGCTGACTGAACCAAGCAAAAACTAATGACAGCTCACTTGACTGCAGCAGTTTACCCAGCACTGGCCACGTTCTAGCTAAGGCTATCAAACAAAAACTTGCATTTAGGTTAACTTTACTTGTTAGGCTAAATTATCTGTTCACAGAAAATAGGCAACTTTGGTATCATTCTGGAAACATTTGTCCCTCATCAAGGATTTCGATACGGGGAAGGCCACACCGTTTAGTGCCATTGCCTTTGATAATGGAGAATCCCGCTGTATTCATTTTTCTTGTATTAAAGTATAACTATGATTGATTTCTTCAAATTATAGCTCTTAAACTCACAACAATGCTTCCTCCTGCTTCTAATGTTATTCCTTCTTTGTCTTCCAATCATCTCCACATCCAAGCTGCTACTTCAATTTGAAAACGCTATTTATGCTCTAAAGCCAATGTGTGGTTTGTCCATTCTGATCTACTGTAAAAAAACATAGTGGCTCAACATGGTGGCCTCCATGATAGGGAACCCACTCCTACGTAGCTATAAAAGGCTCAAGTTAAGCTAAAGGAAACACAATGATTCTTACTTTCTGGTGATTACACATTAATGAAAACATAATTTTGCATACTATAGCCCATTTCTGCTAATAAATCCTTCTAGAACAGGGGTGGGCAATTCCAGTCCTCAGGTGCTGCTGTCCTGCTTGTTTTCCAACTATCCCTGCCCTATCCACTGGTGATTACCTGGTTCAAGTGTGTTCATTCAATCAGAAGCTCAAAGATATCATCTTGGATGAAGGTGGAGTGAGGAAAGACAAAGTGAACTGATATCTGAAGAAAGATTTTATACTGTGAAAATGTTCAGTGGTACATTTGCTGTTTGCTGAAAGGAAAACTACTGTAGCTGCTACTTGTAGCCGTTATGGGTAGCTCACAGCAAAGGTCTGTATCAATATGGAAGTACCTAAACACTTGGTGTTGGTTTACAGGTGAGAACAGTTCAGATTTAAAGCCTTTTATGTTCCATAATAATAATAGATAAAAACAACATTGAAATTAATAATCATACAAATAAATAGTGTAAAATAAATACTTGCACAGACAATTTGTGAAATCATTCAAGAAATATTACAACTTAAGTCATTATTTTGAAATGGTATTTCATCATTCTTAGAGTTTTTAGGGGTTATTTTTATTGTGATTATGGACATTATTATTTCAAAGTACTATTTTTCCAAAGTCAGTTTGTATTTCATAATGCCTTTTTATGTCTCATTACTATTGTAGTCTAGATGGTGGGACATTATGTTCATGCTGAGATGGTCTGATAGGAATTTGCATAAATGTGCATTTTAATGAGGGGACTGATTTCACAAAAACTGCACATTAACCTAACACATTCAAATTATTACCAAATAAATACCATTATGCAAAAAAATTGTGTAGGTTGGTATGAAAATAATACAGATAGAATGCAACAAATTGCAGTACAACTCAGTTACCAGTAGGAATCCTGACTATTGACATATCTACCAATCAGGCATAACATTGTGACCACTGACAGGTGCAGTGAATCACACTGATGAGCTTGTTACATCCACCTGTCTGTGGGCGGAGTTTATAAGTGAATAACACTGGTGAGCTCGTTACATCCACCTGTCAGTGGGCGGAGTTTATAAGTGAATAACTGGTGAGCTCGTTACATCCACCTGTCAGTGGGCGGAGTTTATAAGGCAGCAAGCGAACAGCAGGTGAAGTGGAGACAGGTTCATGGACGCCCACGGTTCACTGATGATGAGGTTGACCTACTGTAGATCTTTTGCAATTAAATATTAATGTGTAGCATTCTGTGTATATGCAGATGCTTAGCTGTTATTCTGAGGTAAAGCAGTTGAGTAAATATATAATTTTGAGTTCATGTAGGTTACTTTATCTAGTGATGGCTGATTGAGGCTTTGTTGAAGCTTCAACACAGTATTCACAAAAATGGTTCATTACTCGAGGCTTCAATGACACAGTGATCAAGTAGGACTACTCGTGGTCAATAAAATGAAGTACAGTCAAGATGTGTCATTGGTTCATGGATTGTGTGAGATTTGATTAACCATGCATATTCCTGTTCGACTACACTACATGGTTGTATGGTTTCAAGCAGACACAGTAAAATATAAAATAAACATGGACTCATGTTGAAGACCACGTTTCTTATCTGGCACATCTGATTGCAGTAGGCTATAGCTATATACTTAGCCTGACATTTTGTGCTATGAATCATATTCTATCCTAAAACAAGTCTAAATAGCCCATAGCTATAAAGAGAGTAGAGGAGAGAAAAACGAAGGAGAGGCAGCGGCCGCCGAGCGGCCCTAACAACATTTCTCTTGTCCAACACAGTTAAAGAACTTTCCTCTAAAATTTTACATAAATGTTACTCATTAAACTCTATTATTTGTAAATACATTCCAAACATAAAAGAAAAATGCTCCTTTTGCAACAATGAGCTATAAACTCTGGAGCATCTTTTTTTTTTTCAACGTGTACATGTGACAGTATTTTGGACTGACTTTTGTTTTGATCTCGAAACTCATCTTGGTAAGGAAATTGTACTTAAACAATATGACATTAATTTTTTGACAAGCCCTGTTTCTCTAGCCATGAAAACTTAATCTGTTCATTATTTTGGCCAAAGTCTTCATTCATCATTCGTCAACAGGCATATAATGTGAAACAGTAGAGTTTAATATTTAGTGAATGCTGAAAGGGTGTGTTTGATTGAGAAAGCTTAACATGGTGCAATAACCTTTGAGGAGGTGAAATTAGGATAACATTAATGGTTGGCATATATTTTGTCTCTCAGCTGACTTAGCAGTCCTGTACATTGTTGATTTACATAATTTGAACATTCACGTTCTGAGGGCCCACCCTGGTCCCCAGATAAGTACAGCCGCACTGCTCGCACCCCCTAATGTTCCGCCAGTGGTTCACACCACTCTGTCCAATCTACTTTTTAAAATCTGTGAGATTTTTAAAAATTACTGAAAGAAGATGAGAGTATCAGGTTCATTTTCATAATACATGACATATGTGTCTGTCGTCATCGGTGTGTGAACGTTGTGTGTGAATGGGTGAATGGTGTATCATCTCTTGTAAAGCGCTTTGGCCAGTGCAACTCACTGTGGAAAAATGCGCTGTATAAACAGTCCATTTACCATTTACCATGTGTCATCTTCATTTTCCTTTTTATAATACCATGTATTGTCGGCCCAGATATCGTGCTGGACAGAAATGGAATGCCAAAGTAAACATGATTCAAAGTTCATTCTTTCTCTTTCATTTCCACCGCTTAGTCCCTGAACGGGGTCACGGGGGGGCCGGAGCCCATCCCGGCTGGCTCATTCTTTTTAGAAAAATTTTAAAAAGATAGTGTCATTACATGTAATTCATGGTCTGCAATAAATTGTTGGTTTTTCCATTTCACTTTTTCTTTGTAAAAATGCATGTGCTACACCATTTTGTGATTTAGTTACTGTCTATATACTTGCATAATGGATAGGCAGTGAATGTGGTGATTGTCAAATTAACACTGTCAGTATGTGCACTTTGAAAAAATTAATAATCTACAGCCATGTTAGTGATTGGGCAAGGTTGACCTAGTGCTGTATGACAACATGCTCACACTGACAGGATTAACACAATGATGTTTAGCAGGTACAGTATGTTTAGCATGTTCACCATCTTAGGTTAGCATTTTTTTTTCATAAGACAGAAAAAAACGTAACAGTCAACATGTACTTATTCTGGAAAATAATTAAAGCAATCTAAGTATTGTATATCAGTTCAAACTGTGAGAGTGACACGTGGCTACACAGAGGTAACTATTTGTTGTGCTTTCACCTGCTTTCTACACCTTTAACAGGACTTATGACCAAGCCTGCCAGTTATTTAGCAGCTTCTTCCTGCAACTATGCTGACATCTACTGGTCTGCTTTTGTGCTAACAATTATACGGTATTATTGATTCTTCCAGGAAATGGTTGCACTGTAATTAGTCTCTTGCTCAGGATCAGCTGCAGTATGTATTTACAATGAACTTCCAGGGCTCTCTCTATTTGTAACAGACAGTACTGTCTTTAAGTTTCAGATTTGAGAAAGAGTTTTTAGGACATATACAAATACTTTATTCTGAATAATAATTTGTGTCTGATGTGGTTTTTCTACAAAAAGTTTGAATTCTTAAAATTGCATCTGATCTTTCTCCCTCCTTTAAAAATTGCAAATGGGAGTTTTTCCTCCCGACTGTCACCAAGTGCTTGCTCAAGGTGGTTTGTTGGGGTTTTCCTCTATAAAATTAATAATAGTAAGGTCTAGACCTTGCTTTGTATGGTGTCCTGAGATGACTTTTGTTGTGATTAGGTGCTATACAAATAGAATTGAATATGAATTGAATATACAAATATTATTAATTTGCAATGTTTCACTGCTGGATGCCAAATATCTCCAGTGAAATGTCAATCTTCAGTGTAAGTGCACCAGAGGCAATGTATAAGTTGTAAAAGTTGCTTAACGGACCAGGTTTGGCTTCCAAACACATTATGATGTGGCAAAATCAAGCGTGTACATGTGCACATCATAAACTTAGACTTAACTTGAGCACAGAGAAACATCTACCACATTGATATGAAAACAACTTTGTATCAATCACTGACCCTCAAACGTCCATCCACATTTCTGAGTAGAGACCTTTAACATAATACAGAACACAAGAACAGGCCATAGGATGTTTTGAGGAAGTTAAACAATACTTTATCCAACAGGAATCAGAGTTGTTGGTGCATCAAAGACTTAAACCTTGATGAACAAAACTAAAGTGGTTCAAGAGCAAAATATTTCAGTCTTTATCTTTTCTGTTGTATGCAGTCAACATAATATTAAAGCAGAACAAATGACAGATCAACAGAAACAATAATAATTTATAAGAAAGCCACTAGATTGAAGAAAGATGGATATAAAAAAGCACGTACAAGGAATCAGCAAAGCATTATGTTTGTTGCTGCATCATATCCACCTGACTAGTTAATGACTTTCCATTTTAGTATTTTTGTGAATTTACAATTTACCTCGCAACTTCACAACCTATCTTGCGACTGTCTGTCTTCCTGCATCTTCATATCTCTCATTATCTCTCCCTCTTCTTTTGCTGCACTTTGTTTGTCTTTCTCTACCTCTCTGTCCTCTCAGACCAAAGCTTAGGCAGCAATGCCCCAAATGGACAGCAGGTGTGCTCTTAAGCACTGCACCATTTAATCCACCGCAGTGTTTCTGTGTGTGTGTGTGTGTGTGTGTGTGTGTGTGTGTGCGTTTGTATATACATCAGCAGTTGGGACAGTCTGGTGTGCCTGCCAGTTTGACCACTGCTGCTCCTGCCACTCTGCTGAAAGAGAGGAGGGAGAGAGAGAGAGAATGCTAGAGAAGAAGAGGGAGAAAGAAAAAGAGCAAGGAGGACAGAGAGACAGAGAGAGAAAGTGAGTCCAGGCCCAAATAAAGCCATGGGGGGGGAGAAGGAAAAAGAGCAAGGAGGACAGGGAGACAGAGAGAGAAGGTGAAAGGGAGTCCAGGCCCAAATAAAGCCAGAGGGGCTGGGGCTGGGATGGGCCCTCCTCTGCTATAAATACGCTGGCCGCCTGGAGATTCGGGTTTGGTGGTTGGGTCTCGGGACCAGCGACTATCACCGCTGCTGTTGCTGCCTTCCTCAGGGGTATTTCCTCCACATATTCGCCATCCCCATCCTGGTCATCAGTTTTCTGGCCATCCAAGATGTCTCGAGTGGATTCAGACCTCAAGCTGGACTTTAAGGATGTCCTCTTCAGACCCAAGAGGAGTAGCCTGAAGAGTCGCTCAGAGGTTGGTGCAGTTAATTATTTGTACTCTGATAATGTAATGCAAGTATTACTGCTGTACTTAAATTGACCATCAGATCAGGATACTGTTCAGAAGGAGTGTAATCTGTTTACTGCTGCATTCAGGATGTACACTTATGCTTACACCTCTGTGATGAGTGACGCAATAGCAATAGTTAACTATTTATACATGGGGATGGATGACATTGGCATTCTGTGGCCATCAAGCCCAATTTCCTATAGTCATGTCATTATGATTAAAGATGAAGAATGGAGATACTTATACTACCTGCAGAGCAGCAGCAGCAGCGAGGACATTTAGTAACCTCATAATCTTGAAAGGATGTCTCAGTAAAACTGAACAGTGGATGCTCAGTGTAATTTGATATTGTGTCTGTCCTCACTGTCTTGTTTTGTGTAAGCCTAGGTGTACACTTCCTTTGTACTTTGGTGAGTAACAAAGCTAGCCTGAATGAATGCTTAACAGTGTGACCTTCTTAAAGGTGACAGGAAACAAGGCTAGACTGCAGCTACCTGTATAAACAACAACTGACTGTAAACAAATAAAAAAAAATCAACAAAAAAAAAAGTAGAGTCAGAGATAAAAAACAAAAAAAAAAGATTCTGACCAGAATGGATCTGACTTTGTTCAATGTGTCATTTAAGCAGGTCAAACAGGCCACAGTGTCTAGCGCTGATGTGCTCTCTGGGCCAATGTAATTAGATCTTTGTTGTTTATCTTATAGCTTCCTCAGATCAGTTATCTGTCACTAGTGTGTGGCAGTGTATCTGAGGTGGAAGGTAGAACTGGATGGGAGCTGATTTTTGAGAGGTGACAAGTAACGCGAGACACAGGAGGCTTCTCAGAAACACAGTTTAAAAATAGTACTGTGTGTGGCACAGTCATCCATAGCACATTCCATATGCAACACACTTATCAAGATAATATACAGAATAGGCACTGTCACAGATAACAGTTCAGAGAACACAGGTCTGCATCAAGCATGCACTGATCTGGACTGGGTGTAAAAACCAATTCTGTCACATTTGTTGAACATCTTACCTTGTTTTTGAATTCTCGACTTATTTTATTCAAACATTTCAGCTAAATAGGTCAGACCTATTTAGTACAACACCTGAAATAACTGAAATTATGTATGATCTACTCAAGATGACTCATTCAGCCGGCCAGTACTGCAGCTAAATCCAGAGGCCCATACGCTCTGAAAGCATCCATCTGACTGTTGCCGCATGTAAGAGGCGTAGAAACACACAGGACGAATCTCAGCTTACCAGACAGCCGCATAGTTGTTTTTAGAAGAGCTGAGGGGTGTATGAACATTACAGAGGCTAAGCTCAATCAATAGCACAAGACCACAAGGTCAGCTGGTCTGTACTAATACATCGCAACTGAGCAGAAATATGACTCTTCAGTCTGGACTCTGATAAGTTTTCAATGTTTAATTAGACTGATAACACTACTGGAATCAGCAAAAACACCTGCTATATGCGAATTAATACAAGATTGCAGTGAATGTATTTCGATCTAGATTTAGACCTTTGAAACTGTAAGGTTGTATCTGTCACCTTAGCCAGATGTTTTTAGTATTTAACTCTACCCTATAAGAAGGAGAATCCATTAGTGTATTTAATCATGTATTTAACACTGATCATATTGAGTAGGATTTGTGATTTGCCACAGAAAATGCAGATAATAGAGATATTATCTAGAGTAAATATCTGATCTAAGGCTTGCATACTGATGATGCCTGTCATTTAAATCCTCAGAATGGTTTGCACTGTTAGATCCATGTGTCACACTTAGTCATGAATGAGTGATGACTAGACTGGAAAATCCTGCTGAGTCTGTTGTACTGAAAGAAAAGACCTGTATGGATTCCTGCAGCATGAAAATGGGTACTTACAGCTGCATGCTCCTCCCTTCTCCATCACTTACTGATTTCTCTCGCCACTATGAGTCACAACCTGATTTTTGCTGTGTGTCTTAAAATTATTTTACTGTGGTTACCACACACTTTGCATTAGTGGTGCGTTTGCACAGCGGAAGCAGTTTTGCATAATGTCACTGGGGATTCAGCAGAAGTATCTTATTGCCCCTGCTTTCCTGTAGTGAATATTTGTTTCCTGTTTGCATAATACATTATTGAGTTCTCAGAACATTATGACACAATAGCCTATTTACTTTATGTAAAACATTTTTGCTAATACTTTATGTAACTGTAGCAGAAATAGTCATAAAGTCAATGTATTGACTCAGTAATGTCTGCAGTTTGCTAACATTACCTAGCGTTAGCCACTGTGTGAGCAAGGAAGCAATCAAATTATTTATTGCCTATGAATTCAACATTTCATTTGTAAGAAGAAGAATAATGTGTAATTCCTCCCTGTGTTGTTTAAAAGCAACAGGCATCTTAACCTGTAAACTCCACTCATAATAAGCAGCTAGTACAGCAGCCAGAATGTCATCTAACTGGAATAAGATTTATAATGTAGCAGAAGGGCAAATGCTTTCCCGTAAAGAGAACAGATCATTTGTCACAATGAGCACCGCTTGCTTCATGTAACTTATCATATTGCAGGCAGCAGAACTGGTTCAACTAACCATTGGTTCTAAATGATTGAGTGCATTCCCATCATGAGTGCACAGACACACACCATGAGCCACAACAGCTGCTCCCATTTCCAAAAAAATCTGCAGTGTCACTCAGTCAGCAGAGGAAAAATCACTCATCAGCCATGTTAACAATTAAAGCACTTTCCCAGTAGGCTAATTAATGTAAAAAAATAAGCTGCCAGAAAACCCTTCTCTTCACCCCTCAGGTGGACCTTCAGAGGACCTTCACATTCCGCAACTCCAAACAGACCTACACTGGTATCCCTATTATCGCTGCCAACATGGACACCACAGGAACGTTTGAGATGGCACAGGTCCTCAGCAAAGTGAGACAACCGAATGGGTGAAACATAAATTACAGCATCATTGTGTTTGTGTGTTTGTGTACTTGTCCATGTCCCTGCCAAGATCTCTGTGTTTCCTTCCACTGAAATCAGGATGCTGTGGAAGCCTTGAGAAAAATATGAATTAATGATGGACTAACTATCGCAAATTTACCTTTCTTTTGTCTGTTTATATGTAGCACACCCTCTTCACAGCCATTCATAAACACTATTCTGTAGAAGACTGGACAAACTTTGCTGCTAATCATCCGGGATGCTTAGAGGTGAGATCACCAGTGTTTCCTCCTGAATTAGCAACAGAAACATAGTTAGACAAATGTTTATTTCTAAGGATCTTCTCTCTAGAAGTCTACTGTCACTATTCCCCACAGCATGTAGCTGCTAGCTCAGGTAGTGGCAATGCAGACCTGGAGAAGCTGTGTGCCATCTTGGAAGCCGTCCCTGCCCTCAAGTACATATGTCTCGATGTGGCCAACGGCTACTCTGAGCACTTTGTGGAGTTTGTCAAGACAGTCAGACAAAGGTTCCCCAAACACACAATCATGGTAAGAAAGATGCTGACAGTTGTGGCTTATGGGATGTGATGTATCAGAAACCGCTCTGTCAATGCCCTTTGCTTTGCAGGCTGGTAACGTGGTAACAGGGGAGATGGTGGAAGAGCTCATTCTCTCGGGAGCTGACATCATCAAAGTGGGCATTGGGCCAGGTAGGTGGGTACGACTATCTGAGTGTCTCTGCGAATAGTCTGATGAATGTGTTCAATGCAAAACTGCACAGACCTTGCATATAAGCACAGCGAGACCAGGACTAAAATAATAGATGCCAAATATAGAAACAAGCCAGAAAACCAGAGACATGCTTTGTATTTTAAGTTAAAATAGCAGTCAAACCTTAAACAGCAAGGGTGACATGCAAGAAGTAGTTTTCACTTTATAGGCGCATAAATGGCTTTGTAGAGTGAGTATTGCATGTGTAGCTTATTCACTACAGAGTCACTGTGGAGACAGAAGAATGTGCTTTTATTACCAGTCGATTAGCTATTGCTAATTCCACAAATCTGGTTTAAGCAAGTGATTTTTAAATTACAGCTCCAGGTTCCAGTGAGCTGTAGCATCAGTTCTGTTTTTGGTTGCTAAAAATGACTTGGTATTTACATGCTCAAATGAATTAATCTTTCACATCATCTGGTGCAGCCTTATACCTCCTGCCTATAAACTATCCACCTGACTTGACAGGTCCATATTTGAAAGCAGTTTCCTAGTACTACAGCAACAATACTGATGGAGACAGTTACATGAATTTAGCTAATGTGTGCACTGTGAACTGTAATTTGCAGGTTCCGTATGCACGACAAGGATCAAGACAGGAGTGGGCTACCCACAACTCAGTGCTGTAATAGAGTGTGCAGACTCAGCCCATGGACTTAAAGGACACATTATCTCTGTAAGTCCCAAAGGAGAATACAAAAAACTATCAATACACAAGTTATTATTACATAGATTATACAATACGTTTACTGTAAAGGGTAATGCGATCTTATTCTGCCGGTGGAGAGGAATTAGTGTCTCAGTTCCTCTTTGTGTGTACTGAAAGCTGAACAGGGTTTAGGATATTTCTACACTGCGGCATTGCTACTTTTACTTAAGGATCCCAGTACTTTCTCTATAACTGCAAAAATGGAGGCAACTGCGGTCAAGTTATGCAATTCTTGAGACAGCCTGTAATTGCACTTAACAACAAAATATGTTTCAAATATATGAGAGAATGAAATACAAATTACAAACAAAACTAGTACCAAAATATAGCTTGTGCTCAGCTTTACCGGGATGCAGCCAGCAGAGGTCATCCTCAGTCTGAAATCTCTGAGCTGGGATTCACTGTGAACCAACATAACTGATCATTTGTCCCTGCAGGATGGTGGCTGCAGTTGCCCAGGAGATGTAGCTAAGGCCTTTGGTAAGTACTCAATCCACAGCTTTTGCTGCTTCTACATTGTCACAGGTGCATTAAGTACTACAAACCTATCCACCCTGACCTCTTTGTCTTTGCTCCTCAGGCGCCGGAGCTGACTTCGTGATGATGGGAGGAATGCTTGCAGGCCACGACCAATGCTCCGGGGAGCTCATTGAGAAGAACGGCAAGAAATACAAACTCTTCTACGGCATGAGCTCCGACACAGCCATGAAGAAATATGTTGGTGGAGTTGCTGAGTATAGGTAAGAGACTGGTATCAGAAGATGCAAAATAGCAACTGTGAGTTTATATATTTGATTCCATCAGTTCAGTAGCAACTCAACCGTATAACTGTTATTATACATACAGTTCATTTACCTGGACATCCACACATTTTTTCTAATGCACCACATGATGCCCCTGATGGTTCATAACCTGGGCAAAATGAATTGTTTTAATTGGCCATTAGAGGTGTAACAATAAAACTGAAACATGTAGAATATCAAAATGATGCTTTCTTAAAGAAGAAAATGTTCAAAAACTCAGTAAAATCATGACATATTCATCCATCTGATTTGAACTGCCTTCACACTGTGCTTTTCATATTCTAAACATATATACTATATAACACATGTATGAACTTTGAATTTAAGTTTGCAAAAGAGTTCTGTCTTACCCGTCTGTGTTTGTGTGCTCTCAGGGCATCTGAGGGGAGGACAGTAGAGGTTCCCTACAGAGGAGATGTGGAAAACACCATCCGTGACATCCTGGGGGGGCTCCGCTCCACCTGCACCTATGTTGGCGCTGCCAAGCTCAAAGAGCTGAGCAGGAGAACAACCTTTATCCGTGTCACACAACAGTCTAGCCAAATGTTCACTTAGTACATGCTTCCACAAACAAATGCAGCATAATATGCCTTGTACATGTGTTATGCCAGTCTAAAAGTGCAATAGCAGGACATTGGTGTAACATATTCAGGAGGAAGACAAACAAATAATCACCTAACCTGTTTCTCTCAGGAAGTTTCCTGCAGGTTCAAATAAACTCCAGGTTTGAGTTGAAACATTCTCCCAGAGATGTCACAGCACTGCAGTCAACCTAATAACACAGTGGGTGTGTTTACATGCTTACAGACATATGCTACAGCCTGGATAAATTCTCCCCAGTTTTGGGAAATTGGAATAAGAGAGCCAGATGACTGAGGCACTTCAGATCTAATCTTTCTAGATAGTCTTTTAATTTGTATATTTGTACATTAAGAGCATATCAAGAATGTGAGCTATGTGGAGCACTATGCATGTCAGGAGAACCATCAGGAGGAGACTCATTCGATGATAATTTGGTAACTTGTCTACTACAGTTACCATGGATGTGCAAATTAATATGCAAAATCCAGAGGCATCGGCCTTTTAACTGTCACTTGAGAAATCTGGTTGCAATAAACTGCATGCAGAACCGTCTGCTAATTTCCTAGTGGGGTTATATACATATTGACATACAGCATAGCAGTGTCTTTTCTTACATGGTGTGGCCCTGTTTGTGTGCATGTGTTTAATGCTTGTGAGGCTGGTTCTGTTGACCCACATGAACACGAAGATGAGATTTATGTAATCCACATGGCAATACACACTTAATGCACATGGTATATCTGCTGTGTGAGTGCCTGTCTGAAATAGTCACATCTGATTTTCCTTCATTGATTCCACCGTGCCTGATATTTTAAATCAAGGGCATCTCAAGATCTGTGTCGTCTGCTGCAGTGAAGGGCTGCTCTGTTAGGTAAAGAAGGGATTGGGTCAATTAAATCAACAATACAAAGGAGACCTTGTTTAGCTGCATTTAGGTATGAAATATCCACCCTTAAGAAATCCCCGGGTTGCATGAGTGGTAAAGGAGCCCGAAGTCTTTTATCTGCAATAAGTCAACCCCCTAGTTATATATGTTTTATTTATTTATTTATTGGTAACTTGTCTGATACAGTTACCATGGATGTGCAAATCAATATGCAAAATCCAGAGGCATGGAGTCGCCAACATATAACATTGAAAAAAACCTCTGCGAGTAAAATGTCAGTAAGAGTAATTTATCTAAACATACGCTAAATGAGAATAAACCTTCACAGAAGTGATTTCGTTCATCTTTGCCTGCAGTCTGTCATCCACTGTCAGTTTGGTTAAGCCAATAGTTAATTGTTATGAACAAGATAAACAAACAAATAAAACAAATAAATGAATGGCTGTCATGGTGAGCACAGTGGAGTCTCTTGGTTAGGACAGGTAATCCTGCCATCCTGAAGTAGAAACGCCTTTTTTGTAAAATAAATAACTTCCTCTGAACTGTCAATCACAATGAGGTAGATGAAATACTTAATTAGTTTCAAAGTCAGTGAGTAATTGTGTTATACAATTGTGATCTCAATATCAAAAACAAGTGATTATGAGTTTTGGCCATCATCATGCTGCCCTAGCATGCAGTCTGTTGTACACTAGAGAGAGATGCTATGTGCTCAACTTCAGCTAAATCAATGGAGGAAAAACAGCATTGCAAGAACAAGTTTTAATGAGAAACAAAGTTTCAAGAGTTTGTATTGTGCATGGATATCCATATCAAAATTTGGTCCATATGGGTATATATGGTGTGTTGGTTGGTGTTCAAATAAAGACAAGTTGCCCATTTATTCCAGATATGTCAAGGTTTCATTTTCTTTTTCAAAGAGGTGCATTTGTACAGATGCCAAATACATACACCAACAGGGTTTCTCCACTGTTATAGACGAAAGGGGTGGTGAGACACAAGGACTTGGTGAGTACAATATAGTACAAATAAGTTGGCTGGGAACTGCTGTGGAGCCCTGCAGGCCAGACTGTCCATGCAGGTCTGTGCTGATGTCCAGTTCTCTGCCACTGTCTTATGGGCCAAACGTTTCAGTTTAGTGCTTGGTGTCACAGGTTAGCAGGGGGAACATTGGAGACAGACCGGTTGCTAGCCTCGGGGCTGAGTGTTCAGAACAGGAGTGAGAATCAACTGAGCCACAGCTGACAGATAAGGTCCACCCCCTCCGTGGCAGTGGGCAGTGGGTAGGGTCAGAGGTCAAGAACTGTACATCCTGGCCCCTGCTGAAGTGTTTGTTGCCTTGCACAGAGAGGCAGACCAAAGATGTTCAGGTCAGTGCAGAGTAATCCAATCCATCTCCAGCATAATACACATCATAATAATTATTTTTATTTGTCAATAACGACATTTGTTAATCATATCAAATTATATGTAATAAATTTACATATCTTATAACCCATATCAAACAGCCCAAGGTAAATTGATTGTGGTAAAACTAAACCGTTAAGTGGGCCTCTACAAGTTTTTTTTTCCTTTCTGCCTGAGTTGGTTATCCAGCGCTATGGACACTGACAAGACGTCATACAAAAAAAAAAAAAACTAAAAAGGAATCCTGATCAAATCCTGTTCACTTTTAAAACACAACAAAGTGCCAAAAACACATCCTTTTTGCAAAATGAAAGTACAAACATCAAGAAACAGAGCACACATGCCTTTTTTGATCAAAAAGTCAAAGCTCACACACCAACATTCATTTTATTTGTCAAGTTGTGCAAGAAGCCAAAAAAAAAAAAAGGAAAGACATTAGCAGTGCTCCTCCAGTGAGGAAGCTTGTCATAAAAACTCAACAATGACACATTCTTTACATAGTTTTAAGTCCCCTGACGTTATATTGAGTGCTACAAGGAGACCAAAAACACAGAAAAAACTCCTGCACCAAGAATAATGCAAACAAAGCACAGGTTTGTATGCACCACTTTCACACCACAAAGCCCAACCAAGCTGTGCTGAGCTCCTGTCAAACATCAGCCCAAATTCAAAATGTGAACAAAACCTACTTAATGGCACAGCCCAGCTGATGTAGGGTGAAAAAGATTCTAAACAAACCTGACACAACAAAAGAAGGGATGCATTCCATGAGAAAAGTTGTTTCCTAGTAGAAAAGAACCAAGGAATCACCTAACACCTCGGCCCGTTGGACCCAAGAACGCGCCGGGTGCCAAGGCGGATGGAACACAGACACATAAACACAAGGTTATGGCAAGGTGATGTGCAAAAACGTGAACTGAGCCATTTCTCTTTTTTATCCTTATCCACCCCCCTTTTTCATTCTCATTCTGTCTGTTTTGAATGAATGTTACCCCTAGGGAAGGTATCGGTCTGAGACAGAGGGGTTAGACCAAACCCATCCTAGGATTAGAAAGTGCTGAAATTTTATCAAGTCTTTTACACCTACTTACATGTGCATCTCTGTTGGTTGGTTGTTTTTCTTCTCCTTTTTTTTCGTTTTTCATTTTACAAAAAGTGGTCCCCACTAGCAATGAGGTTTCTTTTTTCTGTGGGTCTTACCATGAACCCGTTGAGGATCAGGGTTTATGATCTCACAGACAATTAGAGGAGAAAATATACGCAAATGTCCCACGATCATACCCTAACACACTCATGCACACCTGAACAGCAGGCGTACACTAGCACACACACTAAACACCTGACATGGTGCTGACACACACACACACACACACACGTCTCTCACACACAAATTTAGGAAGGCCGCACAGACAAACAGGAAAGCGAAGTATGGACAAACTCTCAGTTGGTTTAGTTTCTCTTTACAAACATCCTGACTGTCTTACAGATGTGACACACACATCAATAGACAGTAAAACACACAAGCCATTAATGAGGATGAGACACTGGAGTAGGACTATGCTACATTTACTTGGCACAGGAAAAGGGGAAAATGAAATTTAAGTATTGCACATTGTGATAACATTTCATAGGGTTAAAAAAAACTGGGAATACCTTAATAAATTAAAACTACACCCAACCCTCAAAACATGTTGCTCTGAGGTGCCGTTCCCTCTCTTGCATTCAAAATGTGCCTACATGTCAGACTGTATTATTAAGCATGCATCTCCACTGAAGTATAAACACAACAATCTGTATAAGCTAGTAGTGAAAAGGAGACAGAACATCAAACGATACAAGGGAACAGGCAGTCCAGGCCAGCCCTGCTATATCCAGGCCAGGCCGCCCTGAAAGGTAGCGAACGGTTGTTGAGGGGTAATTGACTGCTATGCCTCAGGAGGAGGTGCTTGTGAGGCTGGCTGGCTATGATTGGGTACCTGAAACAAAGGTAACGAGGTCACTACGGGAGTCGTGGCAACGAGGCAGACCTGGGAGGAGCCAAAAACACCTGCTGGTTACTTACATGTGTACATGACATATGTTCACCTGCAGCTTTACAGCAGAGTTATGACTCTGACCAGCTGGGGGTTATGTTCAGATACTGCATATATGAGACTCTTCCCTGAAAACTAGCAACTGGTGTTGCAACTGCAATTTCTAAAGATTTATATCTACTTTATGATATGGGGAATAGTATTATTTGAAGCGAGTTATGTTCAGGTATATTAGCTTCTAAAAATATTTTTCTGTTAATGACTATGGGCAGAAAGGAGATATTTTTGGTTGCAATGCTAGAGGATTAAATGTTTATTGCAGAGAATTTAAGTGGAATTACTGTGGTGTTCCACTCATACATGAGGAGAGTGCCTGAATATTGTTGTACTATTGCTTTCTAAAGTAACCAAAGCAGCCACAGTATCACTTGGCTTTGGCTCAATGACTTGTTTTTATGTTTAACCTGACCAACAGTAAAAGTTTAAATGTTTGAGTGGCTAAAAGTTTTGTTTTGATGGTGTGGTTTTGCTTTTCATTTGCTGAGGAGGGGGTTGGACAAAAAAATTTCACAAGTACATACATTTACAAAACACACAGTCACACGCACACACATTACAAAACATGCTCACGCATACTGCTATATTTACTACTAATGATCATGATGTTTCAGTAGGAAAGGAGGAAATGAAAATGCACTACTCTGGTGGTGCTGATCTGAGAAACCCTGTCTTATTATAAAAAATAAAGCATTTCAAATCTCATATGGGTCTGCTCATTTACTCACCATCGCCATCCATCTGCCCATTTATTTAACCACTTACCCATTCATTTCTCATCTATCTGAGCACAGATCCATCCTGCCATCACCCTGGTAAACTCCCACTACTTGAAACATTGTCACCCCACACAGTAAGAACTTGCTGCTTTATATTATCAGTGGGATAAAAACGTAACGGATCCACTTCTCAGAACAACTAGTCTCTGCCATATTGCAACACCTAAATACAGAAGCTGAGTAGAAAGCCCAACAGATATGCCTGCAGGAAGTCACCACTTGTCCACCTCCTTAACAACAATTTTGTGATAGCATTTACATGTTGCATGGCACTCTACATTCCAAACATGATTCCCAGACCACATGTCCACCATCACTTGTTTAAAAACCGCTAATTTCACTTTGTTTTTCTAGTTTGAATTACAATATAAAATTTCAGTGTATTTTAATTACACTCAAACAACAAAAGGATCAGGTGGTACAAACTTCACATTACACATCAAAAACCAAACTCAGAAAAAGACTTGAAATTTTATAGGTAAGAGCCTACAGTGATTTTCAGTTGGGCAACCTCTGACCCAGTCGCTTATAGACCTCGAAATATTTTGTCAACCCAGCAAGCACATCTGTTGAGGTAACTGCTACATCTTAGCAAAATAGGCTGGCTGAAAGCGCACGCTGTGTTCAAACTGAACCCTTGTCCCTACACCCTGGACATCCCGCTTTCATCACCAGGGAGGTTGTCTCCTTCAGACACACTGCAAATGGTTCATCTTTAAACAAATTCAGTAGGCAGGCACATATTACAATTCCGGTTTACAGCTACACTTGTTGTTTATAAGAACTCTAATATAATTTGACCATAACTGTGCTGATGTAGAAACCTTTTTCTGTACTATCTGGTAGGTGCCTATAAAAACCTGGTGTCTTCCAGTGTGTTACATGGTCTAGGGCTCATTTCAGGTCAGGGCCATCAAAAATCTCCACCTAATTCCATCCTCCTTATGTGCAAATTGCAAGATTCTCTTAAGTAAAGACTCCAGGTAGAAACACTGGACATTTAGCATTGTCTATATATCAAATGAGTATATCCTTTTCCTATACACAGTATACATATACTCATACACAAACTCACATACACAAACACACCACAGAGCACTGCCTGTATGTCTGTACTGTTAGCGCTGTGCATTAATCCAATGTCAGTCCACTAGTGTCTTTGCAGCAGGGACAACATGCACCAAAATCTGCATTCATCTAATTGCTTATCAACAAATACAGTACTTATCACAGGGCACTGAGTTTTAGGGATGGTCTGTACTGTTTTGTGTTTGTGTAAGCATGTGTGTGTGTATGGACAGACACAGACCAGCATCATGTGCACTCTAGTGCACACGCATACACACCCACATTACAAATATATGACACCCTTCAAAATTCTGTGGCATGAGCTTCTGATTGCTGCGCTCAGTCTAGTAGAGAACATCATATTTTAGAGCCTTTTCCTTTTTATGCCAGATCCCAAACTTTTCAAAACACATTCCCATGCTTTCCCTAACTTTTGTGTGGCTAGCTGGTTGCAGAAGCTCACACGCAGAAAATCTTCATATTTCTTTTTTGTCACCATAATTTTTTTTCTCTATCCATATTCTAACTGGAAAATTCTCCAATAGCCATTATGTTCATCCCTTTCTTTGTGATCCCATGGCACATCCACTCTCACGTTACCAAACAACTGCTTCACTTTTCCAAAAGCTACACCTTTCCAAAGTGCTTTTGCTACTTTCTACCCTTATCTAAAAAAAAAAAATAATAAAAAAAATTCTATAAAACATACAGTACTGCGTAAATAAAGAGACAACAAAAATCTGTTGGCTATGTGATGAGTGTGACAGGTGTGTTAAGTGCTTAGAAACATCCTGACTCTTTCAGAACTGACATGCAGATTCTCTCGGCTCCTCGCATAGTCTTGCTGGATTAGAAAACCAAAAGAAGAGGATTGTATGCACCCTCTTAACAAGGTGAAGTTTGCCAAGCCAGTGTGTTTGCACTTGTGTGTATTAGGTTATCGCATTTATACATTAACACTGACCCACCTAGGTTCAATCTAGGACAAAATGACCCCTGATTAAGGTTTTTGACAATCACTGAAAATAACTAACTGCTGAGACAGAAGGCTAAAAAACAAAATGCTAAAGATGAACACTACACTGTCATCAATCTGAACAGCGCAAGCGTAGTTTCCTCTCTGTTGGGTGACACAGGGCACAGCTTGATGACATCACAGCATGGGTCTGACACACCTTAATGACACGTGATACGTTTACACTAAAGGCAAGCCCAATTATGCGTTCTCTCATTCTAACTTAATAAATGAAATATTTCAAGATTTACCCCCAAATTCTTCATGCTTAGGATCTGATGTAGCATTCCTGTTGCCCAATGTAAAACTACTGGAGAGGCAAGAAGTGGTAGGAAAATGTGTCTGTCCAGACAGTTCCACTAGCAGGACTCAGGGGATGGAGTCACTGTCAAAAAACAAACTGTGAGCTAAGTCAATTTGAAACTGACATCATATATAAAGTGCAGCCAGCCAAGCAGAGTCATCAAGCATTGCTCTCTTGTGCCATACAGACAGACACCAATAAGCATTTAGCACACATCACAATTTCCTCACCATAAATCATCTCATGAAAACCACCAAAACGGCACCAACTTTTTGTGTGATGTGAAATCTGTCTATAAAAATGTGTTATAAACTACCTGGACTATATGTAAGGTGATACTATGTAGGGTAAATTTACCTCTACAATATAGTATTCAAGACAGAAAAATAAAAACAAAAAACCAAACTTTAAAACCAAGACAAATGAAACATTAATGTGGGCATTTATGCTTTTTATATAATCCTTTTATGTTTCTTTTCCAAATCCCAAGGGTTATTAACAGTGCTGCTAGCCTTCACTTGCCAGTATTCGACCTTCCCTCAATGCTTACTTTCAACTCATGAGGGATGAAGGTGGGTTTGGGCAGAGTCAAAGGGGGCTCCTCCTCAGACTTTTCTACTTTTCGACCCTCAGGGGCGGACCACCTCCGCTTCCTGCCCCCTGATGGTCTACTGGAGCCAGCTTCTGTGCTGCTGGCAACCTGACCTTTAGCAACTGATCCTCTTTCCCCAAACATGAGATCCCCATTTTCCACACTAGTGCCCCCTCCACTCCCACTTCCACCACTCCCCTTCTGGCTGACGCCATTCTCCCGTTCACCGTGCCTGGAGCCTCCTCCACTGCAGCATCGGGGAGCATCAGGGACAACTCTGGGGGATTTGAGGTGCCCGAGGCCAAAGGCTGGGAAGGAAGCTGGGGTGGCCAGCTCCAGGGGCTGAGTCTTCTTCAATGAGCCATTCCTCAGGTTCTTGAGGGTGAGTGAAATACAAACATCACCCACAGAAAGCTTAGTGCAAGGTAGCTCAAGAAGTTGGGTGGTCCGGTCTGGACAGCATGAAGACCAGCCTTGGCCAAAGACAAAGAAGGGATACTCCACCAAGACCTCCACACTCACCTGAAGGAAAGGAGGAAAAGGAAGGGACATCAATACAAAGGCATTTAAAAAGTTGTCTGTAAGCTTGACATGCCTGTTTGTTTTATAGTAATGAGGCACTCCATTGACTTTACACATCAAGTCTAATTAACTCATCCTGCAGAGAACTATTCAGCTGGTGAAAACAGTTCTGGAACATTTTTAGTGGTTATTAAAAGAGCTTTCCAAATTCTGAAAAATAACCTTGCGTATGTCATCAGAGCTACCTCGACTTCAGGCTGGAGACTCTAAATTTATGAAAGAAGTTGGGGTTTGAAAGATGTAAGTGTTTACAACACAGGGGCGGTCTAATAAAAGATGCAATCAAGTTGTCTGGATATCTCATCGTCTGCTGTTTTGATGTTTGACTGTTCTTTTTTAGAACCCATTTCTTTTGAGTCCCTCAGCTTGAGTATGCAATTAAGATATGCTTTTTTAGGTGTTCTGGTGGCATTTTATGCCACTACAGTAAAGTTGACAGTAGAGAGCTGACAGGAAATGATGGGAGAGAAAGACCTGCAAATGGAAACAAAAGTCCAAGACCCGGTTACAACCAGCCACGCTCACAATTTCATTGCCATAAATCTCTGGGTCATGAGGACGCCCCTTATTAAAGATGAAAAAAAAAATACATAGCAGCCGAGGAGTACAACAAAAAATCTTAATCTTAAAGTGACCATGTATTCACAATGTCAACAGATGGAGTTCAGGAAGGGACCTTGGTTGCACAACATCCCTTTCTCTCGCAATCTCATTTCCTGTTATCTTCCCACTGTGCTACTGTATTGCCTTAAAAGTAAAAGCAAACAAACAAACAACAAAACAATGTGGCCCCCACAACACTTGATTCTATAATCCTAATCAACCTTGAAAATGAAAAGCATTCACAAGAGAGAGGTCTAAAAACTTTGAAGCATTCATTTTAATAGTGCTCATTTTGTCGCAGACACTGCAAGATCCTCTCAAAGCCTGTATAATCCTCTCAGTGTTATTAGGTTAAATCTTTTTAATTCTGAAATATTTCTCAAGTGGAAGTCTAGACCAGTGCCTAAATATAACATAATAACCAAGATAAACTTTCAATACACAGATACAGATCTATGTACTGTACAGACAAGGACAGAGAGACAGCTGCTTGCCAAAGATTGCAAGAGCTTTAGTTTAATCTAAATATGGCTGAATGAAAGGCTTTTTGGAACAGGCAATCAGCATGACAATTACTAAGATATTTTTACTTAACAGAAAGGCAGAGCTGCACATTGTTCCATAGCAGTCAATGGTAATTGATTATCTTACTAAAGAACAATTAAAGTTGCCTGGTTGATATTTGCAGTGAGAACTAATATCAGGGAATGTCAGAGTAGATGATTATCAGCAGTGTAGACTGCTGTACTTGTGGCACCCTTTAAGATCTGTATTATCATTTGTATGTATGACAGAATGAAGACATGACAGGGAGAAGCAGAGAAAGCCTTGAGATATGATGGGTAGCGCGAGGGAGAACATAAACCTGAAGAGACAAATGATGAACTGATGAAAGATCTGAAATATTGCAGAGAGAATAAGGTGGGAGTGGAGGAGGTTACAAAGGAAGGGTGGGTTGAACAAGAGGACGAGTGATGACGGGAGCGTGAAAGAGAACAATGTCAAAAACAATACAAGTATTTCAAACACCCTCTCGAAGCAAATGTCAGGGTATTTTTTCCCTGTTCTATTATATAATTTTTGACTTCACACAGTGAATCCTCTGAGTTTGGACTCAAAGCTGCCTCCACCTCTGGGCAACTGAGGGGAGTACAAGAGAGAAAGGTAAGTCTTGGTCAGATGGTCAGCATTCGTGTGGTACAGTAACAAAGAGCAGCTGGGGGTGGGAGAGATGGTTACAGATGAGCTGTGTGGGAGAATGAGTAACAGCATGGACAGATGAAATAGATTAACTGGCTTTAACACAAACCTTCAAAGACAGCGAGAAGGGTGCATGCATTTTTTTGTGTGAGTGAGTGCAAGCGTATTTGAAGGAACCAGAGAGAACTAGAGGCAGGAAACAGAAAGATCATTTGGAATATTAGATGTTAAAAGAGTACTGAGAGATTGGAGTTGTAAGAGAGTGAGAGCTCTATGACCTCTCAAACCTTTCAAAATAAAAAACATTACTTAGAAATAGAGCATGTAACCTTGGTCTAATTTTAAATTAGTACTGCTATTGTCATCTGTATGGGCTAGGGTTAAAACTCAACCTTGGAGAAACTTGACAAAAGTGGTATAAAGAATGTTGTACTATCTTAGTGCATTCATGCTCCTAAATTGAATGAACAGGTAATAGAAAATCTGATGAGTAAATTTTTTAAGCTAAGCTAAGTGGCTGTTATCATATGTTGTCTCACCTGTGTACGGTGCTCACCAACAGAGAACTGAACCACAGCAAAGTTGGGTGAGGTGTGGCTCCCTTCGATGCGCTCCACCGTGGAGGAGTCGATCTTCAGCTCACTGCTGATCTCTGCGCTCTGGATGAAGTCCTCTGTCTTCAGGTCCTCCACACGTTTCAGCTCCCCATCAGCCAGCTGGATAATGGAACCCTTGATGAAATATGGGGGAAGTGAGGGAGGCACCATGGTACTGGACGGGGGAAGAGGAGCAGATGTAGTGACCAGTCCTGGTGGCATGGGAACGATGGGGAGATGAAGCTGGGCTTGGACTACTGCACCTGAAGCGGCCTGGTGGTATGATGTTTCCGGACTTTCTCCTTTGGGAGCAGCGGCACTAATGTATGTGTGTGGGAGTGTGGTCGGAAAAGGCGTGGCTTGGGTAGATGATGTAGTGTGGGAGGATACAGGTTCCAATGTTGTGACTCCACCTCCACTAACAGGTATAATGAGTGGCTGAGTGCCAGGAATGAGTAAGTGTTGTTGTAGGCTGGTGTGGTAGCTGATTGGTGTATGCTGGCTTCCACTTCCCCCGGCAATATAACCAATAATAGGTGGATGGGGGTAGATATTAGTAGAGGAGAGCCCCATTGACAGTGACTCTGTAGCATTGTGGGTGGTCTGGATAACTGTCTGTGGTGACAGCGTGCTGACAGCACCTTTTAGGTTGTCTACATTTAATGGTGGCGGAAAAGAGAATGAGAAAGTGGTGCTGGAGGAGGGTGCGCGATTGACAGGTTTGCCCAAGATGATGCCACCTTTCTCCATGTGTGTGGGGGCAGATGTTGTCAGCTTCTCAGAGCTGGCTCTGGGTGGTACCAGCTGCTGGTCACCATGACTGTTGGGCATTAGCATGACAGAGGTTCTCAGCCCTGAGGGATCGTGAGTAGAATAGTCTGATGGCAGAACCAGCTGGCGTGCCTCATAGGAGGACAAAGAGGATGTGGGATCCTGTGATTTGCTCCCCGACTTGGAGAGGCTAGACTCAGGGGACAATCCAAACCGCCGGCCCCTTTCCAGCTCTCCATTACGAAGCTCTCTGGGCCTGGAGCCACTCTCCTCTTTCCTGGTGGGTCCATCTGTATACTGCACCACAACCTGGGACATCCCATGCCCCAAAGTATGGTGGGGGTGCAGTGACTGGGGAGGAGGAAGGTGAACACTTCCGTGGTGATGAGGCGATGGGACAGTGCGTGGGGAAGTTGACATTTGAACATGATGGGGGATGGGGTCTGTAGAAGGTGGAGGCATGGAGGTCCGCCCAGTGGATGCTCGCTGCTGGTCATGTTTTGAGGCCTGTGAAGGAGCAGAGGATGTCTCTGTGTGTGAGGGTCTCTTTGCACCCAAAGAGGAAGAGGAGGTGGAGGAGAGGGGAGGAGGTGGTGGAGGAGGTGGGAGCAATTGAGGGGAGATGTAGCCTGTGTATGGCGAAGTTATAAACTGCAGATTGTGAGGCAGTTGGGTGCAATGGACAGTTCCTCCAACTGTGGATTGTGACAGGGGGGATGTATAAACTGTAGATAGAGATGATACTAGTCTTAGTGAGGAAGAGGAAGATGAAGAGTCTGATGTGGAGGAGAGGGATTTATACTGGGGCCAATCAGAGTGACTGGAGCTATGGTGCCCACCCACGCTGCTCTCATTTCCACCAGCTACACTGGCAAGCCAGGCCATGTTCTCTGTGCGCTGGCTGTCACTGGCAGGTGGCATGGTAGGCAAGCGATTTTCAGATGGTAATGTGCTAGCGGGGATCTCCCTCTTCTTTGGGGGCAGACATTCATTACTGCGTTCCTGGTTAGACTTCATGTTGATATTGTCTCGTGTCCTCAACTGTACTTGCGTTTCCTTTCCTTAACTTTTGATCTACTCTTGCTTTTTGTTTCTATCTGCTCCCTCTCTGACTTTGTTTTACTTTCCTTTTATTCTGTCTTTTGATGTATTGTCCTTGTCTCACTTCAGTTAGCTAGAAATTAACCTCTCCAATCTTGCCTTCCTTTCCCTCTCTATCCAGTTCACCCAAGGCTCCTGATTATCAGGTCTTTTCTTGATTAACAAAGAAAATCCAGCCTCTAACAAACAGGTGAGGAAGGATTAAAGATGGAGATGAAGATATGGAGGGGTGGTTAGAGGGGAGGGGTAAGACACTCTCTCGGTCCAGGGGTCTTTAGCGTCTCGAGAGTGAGCTCAGCGCGGCAGGGAAGAGTGTCACAATGTCACATCTGCTGCTGCCGCCGAGGACGACGGGGGGCCAAGCACATTGCTCTTCATGCGGAATCATTTCCCTGCAAAAGCAAGCCTGTCCACATGCAGCACAATCCTATGGGAGAGAAAGGCAGACAGAATGTTAGGAAAGGGTGTTGATATCAGACAGATGAATAGATAAATGCATACAAATTTCAGGCCATTTGTATTTTTGCATGTGTGCAGTTTGTTTTTACCTAGACAGCAACTACAATGCAACTGTCCTCAAAATTCCTACCTACTAACGCTGTAAGTGCATTATGCAAGTAATTGCTTTTCAGTGAAAATGACATAAGCAAACACAGTGCAAGTTATCCAGTGCATTGCATCACATCATAAGTACTGTATCTCTGGTCTGGGGTGCAGTGCCACAAAGAAGCACTGCTGATATACTGTATACTGTACTGCGTACATACCGTCTCTGAAGAAAAAATGGAAAACAAAAAAAAGACTAGTCATTTACTTTTCAGTTGTAAAGGTTGTTTTTTTTTATTTTTCAGTTTAAAAATAAAAAAAGCTTTTGACTATCTGGTACAACCATTTATTAATCACATTATAGCAACTTAAACTACCCTATATCATGTTTTGCAACCAGGTGCAAATTCAATTCAAGGACTGGGAGATGGAGAACACATGCTTCAAGCAAACACGGGACATGAAGATGAAAAACAAGCTATAGAAAAGCACCAATTGCCAGCAAGATGATGCACTGCACCAAGACATTCATGACCACAACAAAAGGCTCAGAGAAGACAAACTGTTGAGTGATACTATATGTTTACTGCCATGAAGGTCAAGACAAAAAAGGCTATGAGCCAAGAAAATGATGTCCTGCATCAATAAAGTCCCAAAACAAAAACAAGGCCATGGACTAACACAAGGACACTCATAAATGCTACAATGTTTTATAGGATGAAGATAAGGCCATGAGTTTAAATAATAACACCTGCAACAAAAAAAATCAGAAAGTTAAGAATAGCACTAACACACTAAGTGCTATTGTGTAAATTTGGCTTGCACTAAATTTGCCCACTGATTGACCATAGTTTTGGTTACATTGTTGTATGTACAGCCTGTTTTATATAAACTACCTGTGATTAAATTGTGCTACAACAATGTAACCAAAACTATGGTCAATCAGTGGGCAAATTTTAAAAATCAAATCATGTACTGTACAGTAAATGACAAATATGCTGATGACTGGACTGTGTTTGTAGAAGAATTGAACAAAGCTTTCCACATGGTAAAAGCAGTTGTTGTAGTGCCAACAGGTGGCTTGCTGATGCGGTTTTGTTGCCACAACATTAAGTAACACAGTGTTTGGCTGGCAGGAATTTTTTTGCTCCAGACATTTTAGTTAAGAAGAGGAATTGAAGCAGACAAAAAAAGAAAGACAAAAAAACATAGCAGTTCTGATGCGGACGCTTAGAGCACTATTAATAATAACCAAGAAGTTTCAATACTGCAATATTTGGACGTCCATTAACATGTCTTTGCTGTATTCAACAAAGTATGTTAGGGTGTACCAGGTGGTGTGTGTGTGTGTGTGTGTGTGTGTGTGTGTGTGTGTGTGTGTGTGTGTGTGTGTGTGCCATCTGTTAGTGAGGACCCCCTGCTGCAAAAGTTGGAAAGCTTGGTCTGACTCTAGTAAATAATGTATAAGCGTTTCAAGCACAGGAACCCACCCACAAATGCAACCAAGCACTCACCATCTTGCTTCATCAGCGCACACACCTGGACATATTCAATTATGCTGATACATGAACTCTTCCTGACACACAGCACAAGTTCACACACCAGCACACACACAAGCACAATCTTTCACCACCAAGTGCACAAACACTGACAGCTCAAAGACTCTCTTATTTGCACACTTGAACATGGGCTGAGTTGCAGCTGACTAACAATTTATCAATTTATTTCTTCAGTTAGGAGCAAAATCAGTGGGTTTACACTGTCAGAGGGTGAGTGTGTATCATGTAAGTGTGAAATGTGAACAATTTCCAATTTAGAAACCTATTAGCATTACTGTCATAAGAAAATAAATGAATTACAGCCAGGTACAAAATCAGTTTGTCTCATAGCTAATTTCCTCTTCCATAACAACTATACAGGGAGTGAACTTTTATATAATTAATCTGTTTCATTTATATTAAGACTAAAAGACTAAAACATAATTAAGGGCATGTCCAGTTTGAGAGACAGGCTGAAGGGTCCCACCACAGGTGGCTAAACACTAGCTGTTTAGTGAGCTCTACTCATGCTCCACCTATTTGCCCATTTTTGGATTAGCCATAGCAGTCAGAGCGAAGCAAGAAGGCGACTGCCAGATTTCACAATGGGTTTGTCCAACTTTTATGTGCAGTCAATGGTTTGCCCTCCATTACAGCTATAAAAGCAGATGTGGGAAATATTCTGTATCAGAAAGTGTCTTGATATTACTTTGGATGCCTCTTGCTGACACCATTATCTGAGATTAAGCATTACAAGTCATTTAAAAATATGGACAATATGAAAATGCTGAGGAGAATGTTGGAAAAACAGGTCACAGCCATTTGTGCACTGCTACCTATAAGGACTTCAACAGCTGCCAACTCTGTTCTCATTAGACCCGTAGAAGAGCCTTTGATAGTCAGAGTCTGACTACATGATCTCTGGAGTTTCCAAACCACAAAAAATGTAATCTTTCAACTGCGATGATCGGGCCAACCTCTTCTCCAGCAGAGTGATACCAACTGTGCCCACTGTGTGTCAGTGTTTGTTCGGTAGAATGAAGGACATCTTGCCTCTCAAGCAGATTCCAAGCAGTGATTTAAGAAGTGTTGCGGTGCTACTACAACAACTGCAGAGTAAGCTGTAGGAGTAAATACATGCAAATTCACATGTACTTACAGTACAAGAACACCCACACACATTCATGCAGGCTTTGTTTTATGGTAGTGAGCAAACACACGCACGCTTTCTCAAGTACACACCATCTGTTCATTCAAGCAGGCATGACTCAGATGCATGTCGAGAGGTACTGTTGATCAGTGAGCTTTTAGCACAGAGATGAACTCCACTCCAGCACTCTACCTCCACTCACCCTGCCCACCTCTCCTTCTCGATAACTCTATTCTCAGTTGTCCTTCATCCCATCTAATGGTTTTATGTTCCTCTGCCTCTCCATGTCATTGCTTCTTCGCCCTTGGCCTCCTTTTACATTAATCTTCTACTTGTTTCTATACTGTACTGTACCACACCTCAGCCACTCTGCTGTAGTACAGCCATAATAAATAGATAAAACAAAAAGAAACTACTATGCTTATATTCACCAGACTCCTCACAAAATTTAGGAAAAGATGATTATTATGTGTTGGAGAGCTCTCAGATCAGAGCTATTCCGTATCAGCTGTCAAATCAGACACTGACAGAGTCAGTTCTCTCCATGCTGCCATCTATGAAAGCTTTTATCTGCAGAGTGAGGCACATCATTTCTGACAGTTCACTCTAGCATGTGAAACAAGGTTTCTGAGAAGTGCAGGAGAAATATGCATTGTGTAATGGGATGTAATGTACTGCTGTTATATTCAGTATGGGTAGTAAGTGTGGTATGACACCGCAGCTGCTAAACAACTACTACAAGACAAGTGGTTTGTCACATTGCACTACTACTGAGTTATACAATAGATATATAATAAACAGGAGGAACGTATCTGCACAAACAGAGGCTGATTGACAATACTCAGACACTATTCCTGGGGAAAAACTTTCACACTTGATCCTTTCTCTTATACTTTATCCTGCAGTGTTGTGAGATGGCAAACGAAAGAAAAAGAAAGAGATGTTAACAGTGGACTAGAGGGAGGGTATGAGAGTGCAGAAAGGCTTGGGACACGTGGGGCAGGGGAAGAGAGACAGAGAGGCAGGCTCAACTGACCTACATTGCAGAAAGAGAGAGTATTGCTTCACAGAAACTGACACTCAAACACACATCACTAAATAGCTATGTCACCTGAATCTTGCTGAGTTTGCAGTGTGTATGCATGTGTGGATATCAGCTGACCTGTAACCCAAGTCATCTGTCCTCCATGTGCTTTAGTCTCTCTCGCTCTCTCTCTCTCTCTCTCTCTCTCTCTCTCTCACACACACACACACACACACACATTAACAAACACAATGATCCACCTTAACAAAGCCTGCCTATGTGTCTCCTCTCTGGTGTGAGTCAGTAACCTGAATCGTTCACTCATAGACTATACTACTGTCCTTCTACGGTCACAACAGTGGAGATGTGTGTATGTCACCCTCTCTCTCCTTCACACTAAAAATGTACACACAAACACACACTTTTTCTTTCCTTGACATGTATCAAATTCATGTATAAATGTATAAACATGTTTAAAATCCAGTACATACCGCAGCTGTATGAAATACCAGAAAAAACTGGATCTGTAGATACATTTTAAAGTGCTTATAATGTCTGATATTTGTCATTAAAACCCTGCAGGGAGACAGAGTTAATCTTTCATGTGCCTATTATGTGTAATAAGCACATGATATTTATTCAAGCAGTAATGGACTGCTTCGTGGTTATGGCACCTTTACTACATTTCTATGGCCACATGATATTTATTCAAGCAGTAATGGCTGCACTAATACTGTACCTATGGTCATTTACAATGACAACATAATGTTTATAATAGCAACAGTTGTTCTAAAACACAAACACTGAGTTTAACAATTTACTGCAATTACATTTCTACAGTGCATACATTAGAAAAATGCACTGTATCTTACCTTAAGGCCTCTATACAGTGCAGTCTTATTAGAAATGTTACGAGCTATTATCATACAGTTTATATTTTTGACTGAATCACATTCAAATTATGTAAACAATATTTGCAGCAATGTCATTACATTCCCATTTAATAAATGCAATGTTAAAATTTTGTGTTGATGCTGTCAACTCTGATTCACTCAGCTTTGGTTGTCAGCATCAACAGCGTGGTTTATAATTACATGCAGGTATGTCTGGTCCATAAACAAAATCCAATTAAAGTCTCCTTAAACAAGAACCTTCATTCAACTTTGCTT